AATTTGTTTTGAGAATAAAAAATGTGTCTTAATTTATGCAAATAATAGAAGTGAAAAAAATTATGCCAAACAAAATATACTAAAAAAACAAAATATACTATTAGAGCATAAAAAAATATTTTTAATAAACCTACACACTTGAACTATTGATTGAATTCATTTTTTGACAATGAAGAGTATTATTACGACTGTTTTGTAAGTCATCATTTAAAAGTTGCATTAATTACTTTTTGGTTTGAAAACATGTACTCGATTCTTAACTTTCTAAATTAATTGCCTCCTAAACTTTCTAAATTAATTTTTTCAAACAAAGAAACTTTCTAAATTAATTAGTCAATAACCTACCAAAAAAGATTTTTAGATTAAGCTGGCATGTAGACCTGGCAAAAAATGACCCGACCTGTTTTTGACCCGAAACCCGACCTGAAAACACTGGGTTTTGAACAAAGGTTTTGATGACCGAACCCGAAGTTGTCCGAACCCGAAATGACCCGCTAAAAATGGGTCAAACCCGACCGAACCCGAACCCGACCTGACCGACCCGCTAAAGTAAGAGTTTTTCAAAATTATATACTTCACTACTCGTTTTTAATGTATAAATTTATATTTTCTGACAAAATTTTAATGATATTGCATAATTATCTTACTTTTTTTCTAAAACTTAAGCATTTTTTTAAATTTCTTATATTGATTTGTATATCTAAAAATATTTTCAGGATTTAAAATAGAATAATCTAATAGATTTAATACATATTTTTTGATATTTTAAATTTATTTAATAGAAAAGGTAAGTATTAATGTGAATTTTAAAATTTAAAAAACCAAAGTCATAACCCGTTGGGTTGACCCGAACCCGATGACACTGGGTCATGAACATACTATTCTCAACCCGAACCCGAATTGACCCGAACCCGAAATAACCCGAACTCGAAGTGACCGAACCCGAACTCGAACTGACCGACCGTTTTGCCAGCTCTACTGGCATGGATCATTTGGATTTGGCTATCGATATTTTTAGGATGAGATTGATGCGGTCTTCTTGTGTAATCGGTTTATGCTAGTTTTTTTTTGAAAGGAAATATTAATTCATTAATTAACTAAAAGGTCCACAATAAGTTCCGGAGGAGTGTCATCCCACATGGAACGATGTGTAGAAGCACTTCCCGCTAAAGTATGAGCAACATAATTAAAAGATCTATGAATAAAACAAATAGATGCAGACTCAAAAGAAGAAAGTAAAACATAACAGTCTTCAATCAACGAACCAAGATATGAAGAAAAGGGGCCACGATCCCATTGCTCAATAGCTGTGACCAACTGTAGACAATCGAAGAAAAGCTTGAATGCACAAATCCTCTTACCTTTCAACCAGAGTAATGCCTCACGACATGCCATGGCTTCTGCCATCAAATGTTCTTGCACACAGATCAAGCGACCATTGACTGCTGCTCGGAACGATCAGTCTTCACCTAACAGCACACAACCAAAACAAACCAAACCGGACTGTGGGAAAACAGCAGCATCCACAAAGCACAACTCACCCCCTGTCACAGCAGTGTTGGGTTGGAAAACAGCACCTGGAACTGCAACAACAGAACTTCCACTCTTCAAAGAGGTAGCCGCATCAGTCCACCCCCGTTGAAAAGCCTCCACCTGCACAGCCGTAGACCTTGGATGTTGTACCATATGTTCCCACACAGCTCTATTACGGGCTTTCCAAACTGACCAGATAGTCCAAGATATCTTCTGAAGTTCTAGGCTTGAGGTAGAGGAAGTAACCCCTTGGAACCAAGCTTCAAAAGACAACGCCCCAATTTGAAAAATATCAACTCTCAGAAGTTGCCAAACTGCAATGGAAAAAGGGCAACGCAAAAAAATATGATCAATTGACTCACCTGGTATGTCATACCTCCGAATTTCTTAGGGTATGTCATACGACCCCAGGCCATCCAATGGATACCTCTATTATTTTCGCCTTTGTTAGACCACCAAAAAGAGTTCATTGCACGTTCAATAGATAAACAAAATGAACGAGGAAGTAAGAAAGTACTCATTGCATATTGAGGCATGGCCTGTGCAACCGTCTTCAACAAAATCTCTTTCCCTGCTCTGGACAAAAGCTTCTTATTCCAAGAGGTGAAACGTTGCTTAATCTTATCTGAAAGATACGAAAAAGCTGCCATTCTATTCCTTCCCAAAAATGAGGGCAATCCCAGATACTTGCCAAAGTCATTTGCTTGCACAACACCAAAGAACCGAGTTAGCCAAACCTTATGATTCCACATGGTATTGGCACTGAAACAAATGCTAGATTTATGAAAGAAGGATTTGATCGGTCTTAACTCTTAACTGGACCACATGGTATTAACTCTTACTAAGTCAGATTTGATCGGTCTTTATTTACTTTTTAAAACGAAAATAAAAAATTAGGAATAAAACATAAAGCAAGAACCAAAGTAGATCTTTAATGTTTTTAATCCAAAGCAAATTATTACAAGTGCATAAAGTTCATGGTGGACCTTGATATATGCTAATTAAACATTTTTGAGTGTTTAAATAAGCATTTTCAAAATTAAAAAAATATATGAGAAGATTCATGTGGACCTTAGGTCCACCATATAACCACTATTAATCCAAAAGTAAAATTTTGATATTTTTAATCGAAAATAAGACTTATAATGTTAATATTGCTAACACATATAGAGTAATACCAAAAAAATATTGTAGAATGCATATAAACAATGCTACATTGTCACAGTGTAATTTTCATTTTTAAAGAATAAAAAATGTCACTACTATTTTAGAAATAAGAGTTATGATTTGTTCATATTTTGAATGGTTTTTTATTTAGTTTTTAAAAGTTATATTTTAATGATATACTCCCTCCGTTTCCTAAAACAGTTCTTGTTTTGACTTTGGGGCAAAATAAGGAAAGTGTAATTTTAGTTGACTTTCCAATTTTGCCCTTGATATGATAGGTAAAAGTAAGATGTGATAGTTTAGTTATTAGTGAAAAAGGATGATGTGATAGGTAGGGTGTGAAAAAGTAAGGGTAAAAGTGGTTTTTTAATAGAAAAAGGAAGTGTTTTAAGAAAAACAAAAAAATGAAAGAGGAAGGGTTTTAAGAAACGGAGGAAGTATTATAAAACATATATTTCAAATTTATATGTATTTATACAAAATTTATATTAATTATAATAATATATTATAGGACTAGTCCTAGTCCAACTTAAGAGCTCGAAAAAAATAATGCAAACAAAAAAACTTAAAAATAGAAAATTGTAAACTAAGAAATGCATCATAACTTAACTTAGTTGTAATATTTTAAATGCAAAAATTCACACGAATACTCCTAGAAATTAGTGATTTTATGTTAATACTCCGAAGTTGAATAATTTACACTGCTGCTCCTAGAAATTGTTCAATTTTATACCAATACTTTGGCCTGCAAACTAAGAAAAGTACTTTGCATTTTAAATGATGATTGTAAATTATTAAGTATGTGTTGGTAATTACAAAGTGATAAAAAAATAAAAGAAAATATTGTTTCAGACAAAATAAAGAATTATAAAGTATATATTTCATAAACAAATTTATATTCGTTGGAAAGATCTTTAAAAAAATAAGCTTTGGAGTATATCAACTTTAAAATTCTATAGTTTTGTATTTGAAACACTATCATAATTTATTCAATTAAAATATGAACACTTTATTTTTCAGTTTTAACACATTTTTATTTTAAATCGACATGGGGGGTAATTATAATGCATTCAAGGTGTTCTCTTTATTTTTGTAATTAATTGCCAACTCATACTTAACAATTATGTAGACACCATTTAAAATGTCACGTGTTCACCTTGGTTGGCAGCTTGGAGTACTGGTGTAAAATTGAGAAATTTCTGTGAACAGTGATGTAAATTATTCAATTTCGAAGTATTTATGTAGAATCACAGATTTCTTGGAGTATTCATGTGGATTTTTTCTATTTTAAATTAAATATTTTGCTTTCGGAATCAGTTTGAACATATTATATTTTATTTTTAATGGAGTTTCTTGAGTTTGGGGGGCACATTTTTAACCAAGAACACATTTTTAATTTACTCTAAAACATTAGTAATCCCATATATATAAATAAAAGAAGAGTAATGCTAGAGTCACTAACAAAACATTCACAAATTGTACAAACTTACTAATGATATAAAATAATAGTTCCAAATAATGGTCTTCAATAATTAAAAAATAAAAACTTAAATACACAAATGAAAAGTTTGTGTATTTTGTGAGTGTTTCGTTTGTGACTCTAGTATTACTCATCTTATAGAATAATGTTAGAGGTACAAACAAAACATTCACCAATTGTAATACTCCTTCCGTCTCTCATTTCTTTTTTTCTTGTCCCACAAAATCATTTTTTTTTCTATTAAAAAAACTATACTAATAATAGTTTTTTTACTAATAATCTACCTATCACATCCTATACCCATCACATCAAAGAAATTTTTGAAAAGTCTACAAAAAATTATACGTGCCTAAAATTTCCTAAAAGTCAAAACGAGAATATCTTTATGAAAATGCATATTTTAAATTTCTAAATTTACTTTTGATCAATGAAAAAAAATAAAAAAAATGCATATTTTATGTTTTCATACAATCATGTATTATATTCCGTATAAGACTTATACGGAGTAAATATTCAAAAGCACACGTAATATTTATTCTCTATCCCAAAAAAATCATAAAAATTTGATTTTTTGGGTCTATACTTTGACCATAAATTGCGAAAAAATATATTTAATTATGATGTAAATTTATTGAAAATTGATTTCTTTCAAAAATACTGATATAGTTTTGATATATCAAATGTTTGCACCCCTAACATTTAACTATTTAAAATTATATTTGATTTATAATTAAATTATTCCAGAGTTTGACCAAATGTTTAGAAGAATTTTTAACCTCCTTGTGTATATAAGTAGTAGAGCCTCCACCCCTAATCACAACAATTAGTTAGCCATAGAATATTAAAAAAAAAAAAAAAAGGAAACTGAAAGAAGATTGAGAATGAGTGGCATTACAATTAGAAATAACCCTCTTAGGGTTTCAGTGACTGTTTGTTTCCTCACTTTTTTTTTACTTTGTGGGGTTTTTTTGGCCAATCACAACCACCGCAAGAATACGAAAGATCCCAACAAAACTGACTGCGCCGGAGACGCCGCCGCCGCCGCCGCGACGGCGGTGGGCCCTCCTCTTGCAGGGAATTTAAAGATTAGGAAGATGGCGGCGTTGAGGCAAGAAGATTATTATTCTTATTATCTTCATCATCCTCCTCGTACCTCTCTCAACTACGTGAACAAAAGAACAGTGCCAAAAGGACCTGATCCTATTCATAACAGGTGCTCTCCATCTCTCCTTTTTTTTTAAAGAAAAACTTTATCAATTTTTCATTTCCTGCAATTCAAGAAAAGTTTTGAAAAGTAAAAGAATGTAGGGTTTGAATCAATTAAGATTAGAGATAAATTGTACTCCCGTCCCATAAAACCCTTCCCCTTTCGTTTTTTTCCAATTCCCTAAAACACTTTCACTTTCTATTAAAAACTCACTTTTACCCTTATTTTTTCATGCCCTACCTATCACATGATACTTTTTCACCAATAACCAAACCATCACATCTTACTTTTACCCATCACATCAGGGCCAAAATTGGAAAGTCAACCAAAATTAGAGTAATTTTGCCTCAGGCGTAATGGATAAAAGTGAGATGTGATGAATAAGTTATTAAAGTAAAAATATGATGTGACAGGTAGGGTATGAAAAAATAAAAGAAAAAGTACTTTTGAGATCAGATGGAGTAGAGTATTGCATATTTCTAGGGCTTATATCAAAGTCATAATGATCTCTCGAGGTCACAAATTTGAATTTTATTATCACCTAGTTTTAAAAAATTAAAACCTACGCAAAGATTAGACAAAAAACAAATATTACATATACATGAGAGGACGTGTTTGGATATAAAAAAATCCCTTTTTGGGTGCCCACAACCACAAATTAAAGTTAGACTTTCAGTTGAAGTCTTTGTTTTGATATGATATCAAAGTCTTCGATAGATTCAAAAAAAATTATTTAGTGAGTAAATAATTTCTGTCGAACATTCTAAATTGAAATTTTTCTTTTATTTTGGGACAGAGGGACTATTTTTCCATTAAGGATGGAATTGACATTGAATTGGAATTGATTTAGATGGAATTGAATTCTCCAATTCACATTCATTTTTGGCATTCCTAACTCGAAATTCACATATTTTTGTTTTTGTGCTACCGAACAACAACAGTGGTACTGTTGTACTCAATTCCAATTCTTTAATTTGAATTCCGTGTGCCAAACGGATTCTAAGTTTATGACCATTTTTATATCATGGTTCTACAGGAAATCCCCACCAGGTCAACCATGAGTCGAGATACGGATCGGGTAAAGTTCCGTTTGGGGCGAAACATCTAAGATTTGGGATCTAAGCCAAGCTGGTGTGGCATGAAGCTGCAGTGTCACAGTTACTAATTTAATTTTAATTTTTGTTAGTTTTTATGTTTTTAAAATGTATTTCACACTATGTATATCTTTTTCACATTTTACTTCGTAGATTTTTTGTGTAGATTTTAAATATGTAGATTATACCTTTAATTAATTTGTATGCCGATTTGTAAAAAAATAACTTTTAAAAAAGATGTGATTTTGCATGTTGTACCAAGTAAGACTGTAATGTTGAGACTTGAGACGGGGTGAGTACAATATATGAACACATTTATGGTTGTATTATGGAGTAATGCATCTCTAGTCGCCCGTTTTCTCTCATTATAAAATCTTTTGGTGTAGTATTTTAATATATAATTTTATTTTTTTAATTTTACACCATTTTTCAAATAAAATATTATAAAAATAATTATAGTCAAACATCGTAAACCGAAACAGTCAATATAAATTGGAACAGATGGAGTATCTTATTTCAAAATAATTTTATACTCCGTATTATACAAATATAATTATCTGAACTATTTTTATGTTACAATTTTAGGCGGATTACAACCAACGGTTCCATAAACAAAAATAAAATAATAAGATCGAAATTTATAATATTTTTTGGATAAAATAAAAAATATTGAAAATTATAATAAAATGCAAAGACTACAACATATGACCTTCGTGAGATGACTTCAATATCACGTATTGTATGCAACAGAAACAAGGAGAATATAACACTCCAACTCGCATTTCTCGTTAATCATGAATTAGTAGGTGGAATTGCTACTTGATTGGTACCTTTATAAAAAAAATCAGATAATTTAAGACAATGTTTGACAACTAACATTTTAATTTATTTCTTGTAATTCAATTTCAAAAATTGAATACTTGAGTTTCAAATTACAAGAGGAGGCATATGGATTGATTGCAATTGAACGTTCTTATGAATTAGAGAAATTTATTTCATATCTAGTTTTTATTAAGATTCTCGAATATGGAATTTTGAGTCAAATCCAGTTTTGAGACCCAAATTCAAGCTGTCAAACATGACATAAAATCATTTAAATAAATATTAATGAGAGTAATTAAAAGTTAAAACAATGTCAAAGTTAAATTGTAATAATTCAAACTAGTTTGGGTTCAAGCCCAGAAAGATAATTCGTACGGAGTACAATTTTTTCAAATTGGTACATATTTATTTGTTTCATAATATTATTAAATATATCTAAAAGAATTATTTTAAAACTCAAAAATAACAATTCTTTAAATAGCTTTAATATATTTATTATATTTTGGTATTTTTTATTTTTTAGTGCAAAATACAAGCAAAAGTATGAATTTAAATATTTTAAAAATAAAGTTTATAACTCGTTCGATCGACTTGAAGTCTATCACCCTGGTTCATGAATTTGAACTCAAGTTCAATCAAATTAGACCCAATAATCCAGTAGAAGAAATAGACCCATTAATTTTTTTTGAATGCTATTGACTCTATTACAAAGTAGTATCTGTTCATACTATTCTTAAGCTAATGACGCACAAAGAGCCAATGCTGCTGCCTTCGCTGGGGCTCGAACCTGGGTGAACTTCCCCATGAATCTTGGGGAGTGGGCTTGCTACCACTCAAGCCAGGGGAGAAGTTCAATAGACCCATTAATTAATTCAACAACAAGAGTAGAAACCCATCACAATTCACAAAACACAAGAAATTCTTCTAATGAACTCCCTTGAAAACCTCCACAATCGCAAGAACATAAACAATCTTGTACTCCGTAATTCATAGAGCCTGTTTGGCAATAACTTTAGGGATTAGTGTTAGGGTTTTGAAAAGACTATCTATGGACAACATTTAGCGTTAGTGTTTTCAAAGTAATCTACACCGTCAAAATTTTATCCAAAACGCTAACGCTAATCTATAATGCTATTTCCAAACAGGCTCATAGTCAAAACCAAATACTTTGGAGGTTAATTGTGATCAAACTTTTAGGGCCTATTACGCATGTAGTATCTCTTCATTTTTTTCTCATCTAATGATGCACGAAGAGCCAACGTCTCTGCCTCTGCTAGAGTTCGAACGAACTTCCCCGTGAATATTAGGGAACGGGCTTCCTACCCCCGTAAAATTCGGCGTGGTTACGTTTTACCTTAATTATATATTTCTATTCATATTTCATTACATTTGGATGACATTGACTAATATTGTGTCCCTCACGCCAAAAACAAACACGGGTCTACCACTGGGCAATTTCCTCATGACCAAAACAAATTGAGTGACCATCCATGGTTGTTTTCAATGAAATTCTTGACCCGAGCTTTGGCAACTTTGACGGTGGCGTAGAAGGTTCGAACAAGGCGAGGGTACATGGCGTGATCGATCACAATCGTGACAAACCTTGCACATGAATAATTCCCTATTCAGTTTCTCAAGAATACTATACTACGTAGTGTTACTTAATTCTCTTTTATAGCCATATTGAAAACAAACGACAAAATGAGATTTTGTAGTATGAATCAGTATTTCTTGACAGATTCAATTTGAATGGGTAAATAATTACTCTCTAATTTCTCTCTATCCCAATTTTGTTCTTTTTATAAGTGTATCTTAAATTTAACGGTCTTTTGACATTGGAATTCAACACCAGATCATAACATTGGGTTCATTTGACACGCATACGATGCTCCGTTCTATTCCAAAGTGGTTCCTATCCTCCACCCCCTATAAACCCACACCCCATATCCCGACCCCACCCCGAACCCCCAAATTTTGTTGACATTCTCGTAAAAAAAAATCTTGGAAATAGTCTCTCTACTTTTAGTACACACCCTCCCTAGACCCTATGAAGACCCTACTTTCGTGGGATTGAAGTGGGTTGTTGTTCTGGTAAAAAATATTACAAGAATGTCAAGAAAATTTGGAGGACCGGGGGTGGGGGAGGGAGGGGGGGGGGGGCAAAAGCCATGCTTGGGTGAGAGTGTATAAGGGGGTATGGGAGTAGGAAACACTTTGGGGTCGAACACAGCAATGTAGGAATGCCAAATGGATTCAATGTCGTAATATGACAATAGGGAGTATAGGTACCAATGTCAAAGAAACTGGCCAAATAACAACACTCCCACCACAAATTAGTTGGTACAAGAATATCACACAAGCATACAACTTAAAATTAACGTAATAAAACGTGACACACACACAGACACAAGCCTTTAGATTGAAGCTAAGTGCAAATTTGTGTAAGACGCTCAAGTCTTTACTTGGAGAACACATTTGGAGTGTACTTAATTTCTTTGATCTGTACCATTTTCACACAGATAATTTTGTGTTATAAATAAATGCATATGCAGTCAGCATAAAGATGTCATGAGTGTATTCACAGTTCACGGATGCACAAAAGTTAAGGAATGGAAGTGTAAATTAGAAACATCAAGTACACAATTACTGCCAGTTGCTGTTTGATGCAACAAGTTTTAAACAAAAGGGAGTCGATGAACTAAATAATACACAGTATGATACAGCCGTAGTAATAATACACCGATTTTCAGGAGCAAATGAGACTAATGAGAGCGTACCAGACAAAACAAACACGTGGTCGTGGCTACATTTTCATATGTATTTGGCATACAGTTCTGATGACTAAACAGGGCTGGTAGTTTCTTGTTCGTTGAGAATAAGTGGGAATTCATCATATTGATCCGACGACCCATGATGAGCAGCCATTTTCTTTAATGCTTCATATGCCTGATACATTGTCCACCTCTCTTTGGGTTGAGAAACCACACAATTGCGTGCGATTCTGATGAACTGCACAATCTCCTCATCATTCCCCTTCCCACATATGTTCTTATCGATGGCATCTTTTACACGACCCGACCCAGACAGCCGGTTCACCCATTCCACGAGATTTCCTTTGAAACCTCCTTCATCAGCATTGACTTCAAGTGGTTTTTGCCCAGTGGCCAACTCCAAAAGCACCACCCCGAAGCTGTAAGTATCTCCTTTTGTTGAAGGAACCATTGTGCTTGCATACTCTGGTGCCACATACCCAAACTCGCCAGCGTTTCCATTCACAAAGCTAGTCTGGTTCGCATCAGAAGGTGCTGACATAATCCTAGCCAGTCCGAAATCCATTATCCTAGCATCAAAATCCTCATCCAGAAGAATAACATGGGAACTGAAATTCTGGTGTATAATTGGAGGTTGACACCCGTAATGTAGCCAAGCGAGTCCCCTAGATGCACCTAAACCGATTTTAAACCTGGCCGGCCAATCTAGCATGCTCGGATTTCCATGTAACACTGAAAACAAAGTCCCGTTTGAGAGGTTCTTATAGACCAAAAGCTTCTCTTCTTCAACAGCACAAAACCCTAAAAGTGGGACCAAGTTTGGATGCCTGAGTTGCCCTAACCTATTCATCTCCACCCGAAACTGCTTCTCGCCCATCTTGCAATAACTTAGCCGTTTGATTGCAAGAACAGAACCATCACGAAGAACGGCTTTGTAGGTCGTACCAGTCTTGATCGAGTTCAAGATATTCTCAGTACTGAAAGTGTTGGTTCCAGCTAACAAATCAACCAACTTAAGCTTGACGAGTGGTTTCTGGAACAGCACAACTTGGGCAAGCTTGTGATCTCGGAATATCCCAACCCAACTATAACCTCTCTTCTTCATATTTGGTGATCTCGTGAAATACCAATACCACAAACCAAAACCTAACAACATAGATGCAGCAGCACCAAACACTCCTGCAGCAATTATTATAGCTAAATTTTTCTTGCTCAATCCCCCACATTTCCCGGCTGGACCACCGCAGAGATCAGTTCCCCCAAAATCAAAGCCAGAAGGGGATCCGTCAAAAGAAGATGGGAGTCTGCCGGAGAGAGCATTGTTCGCCACGGAAAACTTCTTGAGCCTGGCCAAACTAGAGAGCTCGGAGGGAATGTTTCCGGTCAACTTGTTATCATTAAGGATTAAATCGTTCAAATACTGGCACTTGACTAGATCCGAGGGGATTGACCCGGTCAAATCATTGTTTGACAAATCTAGGGTTACTAAATAAGGCAACCAACGGCAAATCTGAGATGGAATGGTACCGGAAAGTCCATTACCGGAGAGATCGAGGTTCTGCAAGTCGCTACAGTCCTGCAAGGCGCCGGGAACCACACCGCCGAGGTTCATATCCTGAAGCGACAAGGTGTGCACGCGATTCTCGTTCTCGTTCCAGCACGTGACGCCGGTAAACTTGCAGATGAACCCGGGCGTCGTGTTGTTGAAGTTCCACAGTGCCAGGCTGCGGGTCGGATCCTTGAACGAGCTTTTCACGCCTCGCAAACACTTAGCATCGTCTTCAGCTGCTCCGATTCTAAACAGCGCCAGAAGGATCGCCAAGCTACAAATCGGAAATCGAATCATCCTTAAAGTGTTCTGTAATTGACTCCAAGAGATTCGATGCTTCCACTAAAGAATTCCGGCACAGAGTTGAACAGATTCAACAGAATGATGCAGCGCTTGAAGAGGAATAGTGGAAATGTGGAAAGTTGAATGACGGCCTGACTAGTAGTGGAAAATTGGAAAATAAAAATATAAAATTGTAGCAAAATTGTATCCCATAATTATAATTGCCCCTAAGGTAAATTGAATTTTGATTGTAAATTGATGACATAGAGTGTACTGTATGCCTCGTATTGAAGCTCTATGCTTAACATAGTTACATAGTTGTCTCTCAGCACAGTTGTCAGGAATCAAACTCAAATTACCCTTGGCGGTCCAAGCCTTTGCCAATACCAGCGAACCCGTAATTTTATTCACCATGTCATCCTCCATTCCAATGATTTTTTATCCTTATTTTTCTTTTCCCATTTTTATTTGAATGGTGTTTTGTTTTTTGAAAGCCAAAGATCATTTCAAAAAATGTTATCATGAAATATCATTACACAGTATTCTGTATTTTAAAAAATGTTACTCTTGTATGGAGTGGTATTACCCGACCGGACACTGTTAATCAAGACAATTAGACATATCATTACAATGTGCAAAAATCCTTATTGTACCAGGTGAGCTATGCCCTCGGACATCATTATTCATTGTGCGTCTATTCTGAAGTACATGATTAGAAATTATATACTCTCCATAATAATTATTGACGCTAAGATTTCCTAAAACTCATAAATCTATAGTTATAAACTTATACAAAACCAATGAACACATACACATACGAAAATAAAACTACACCAAGATATTATAAAATGATATGAAAACAATAAAAATAAAATTTTTACTAAGCACCATAATAAAAGGACAAGACTAAAAGAGAAAAAATATAACTCCACCGTCCCGCAATACATTTTCTGTTTTGACTTTTATGATGGGAAACTTTAGAAGTTTGATCAAGCTGAAACGATGACATTTATTGAAATGACTAGGGTTTTGGAAATGTCATAGTGGACATGACTTTTAAGATAACTGGGTAGGTTAGGTTAGATTTGTAAAAAATAACTACGTTTATATTTATTTAAGCTAAATGAAAAAGTTTTCTAGAACAAGTAAAATGTACAAGTGAAAATATTTTGTGTGACGGAATAGTTATTGTTTTGTTTAGAGACAAGAATGGAGAGATGAAGTATTATGCCCTTCATCGGTTGAACCCCCTCCCCCTCTCCAAAACATGGGGAGGATGTATATAAAAAATGATTATACAATGTAAATTGGGCTTTGGCATAAACAATGGCACGACATTGGATTGTTATATACCCAGCATGCATTAACTACATAACTAGCTGACCTCGTCTATGTAATGAGATGATAGATGATGTATCGTAGACCAGTTGAGTTCTTGATGAAGGCAAGCACTATTCTAGACAAAGTCGAACTTATGGTTGGTGAGGCCGAGCCTGTGGATGCCAAGATCGGGTACAAGAAGCTTGGGCTATTGTCTTTGATCCTTGGTTGTTCGGTTGGCTTCCAGGCCTACTATAAGCCTATAAGTCACAAGCTTAGATTCAAAGCCCATTAGTATGTTTTGAAAAAAATTATTTTTTTGACCATTTACAAGGTTAGACCATGTTTACTTCAACTTATTTTTATTACTTCTTTTTAGAACCAGTTCAGATCAGATAAGGTCAAAAATTATTCTTAGCATTGAATATAACTATATTTAATTAGAACAGAATGATTCGAATCGGGTGAAGAGAACATGACATTTTTTTGATAAAAATAATATGTACTTAAGGTGCATCATTGTTTGATTATTAAAATAGCGACCCGTTCATATTACATTAAACATCAATACCATAGAATGACCTGAGAATCTTACAGTGCTTCGTTCGAAAAATTTGATGGTTCCTATCTTTTAACTTCTACACAAAACTTTCCTACTCCACCAGCTCCTGGTGGGCAGAGAGGGTTTGGAGAGTTAGAGGTGGTAGAAATTATCAATTTTTTGAACGAAACACTGTAAAAGTCTCGGGTCATGCTATAACATCGATGTTCAACGTCACACGAACCGCCCTGTATGAATGGACTCTCACTTCTTGGGGTTTTTAGATGGGCCTTCGTGGGGTTTTATTTCGTCAAAATCAAATCCATCGAGCCTTGCCTTGAAAAGCATTGCAAGTGTTGGGCCAGAGTTGGAATCCGGAAAATGCGCACAGTGAGTAAACAAATATGAAAAAAAAAGCCCAAATGAGATTTCAAAACTCAAGTCTCCCGTAGTAAAACTGCGTCTTAAATCTCTTCTTTCTCTCCTTCAATAAGCCATTTGAGTTCGTTTTGTTCTCACCTCTTCCCCCACTTTACCTCCCTGTCTCTCTAACCGGTGGCTCTGTGTTCTCTGTTTTTCTTATTTCTTGCTCTTCTCCAACGTTGCAAAGTGAATAGTTTGATTGAGGAAGATTGTTTCATTCTCGTGTGATCCTCAAACGATTCAACTTGTTCTTTTTTTTGTTTTGCTTTCCGCGGTGGTTAGATCTGCAGAGCGCTGGTTTTACTTCTCTGGTGAGTAATCAGTTTGTTAATCTTGTTGATTGTTCGTCTCCTGGAGGCGTTTTGTGATTTTCTGGTACTTATATTTTGGTTTTGTTTGTGCAGGCATGAAGCGATTGCGGGATGATGGTTATAGCAACCCCCAATTTAAGCGGCCCCTCGGCTCTTTACGTGGAGAATCGTAAGCTCTTGAATCGCATGTTGTGTTCTGATGAATTTTGGACCTTTTGACATTTGAGATTGTGCTGTTGTCTGTCAGTGGTTTTCAGTTTCAATGTTTTTGATGGAAAAAATTTGTATTTAGGGGTGTTGATGGGGGGATGAAATAAACTGATTTCTGAAGGGAGAAGTGAGTTGATGATGACTGTGTTTGATTGTGCTGTGGTTTATGGTTTTTAAATTTTTGTGATCAGATGTTGTTAGATGCTGTGAAGTTCTTGTGGATTTGTGTGGATGCAGATTAACCATAGGATCTTTATGGATTGTGTGGATCTTTTTTCGCACTATACATATGTTATTGTTTGGTTTTATAATTTTTATGGAATTTCTGGAGAAACATTATTGGTTTCAATAGCACTTTGATTTGTGTTTCAGATCCAAGAACAAAAAACATATGGCATTAGAAACACATCTTAGCATGCAGTAGGAATGAATTAAAATAATGTTGAACGAACTCTATTATCGGGCAGCGGCTCTGGAGATAAGGGAAATAAATGAACTTTTCTATATCAAATAGAGCAACTTTGTTGAGTTGGAGACACGGTGCAACAAAGATATCATTTTAGTAATAAATTTGTATTCTTTCCTTCTGATCAAGGTGTGGACAATTGCAAGCCCCTGGAAGTGGTGGTGGTGGTGGAGCCGGAGGAAGCAATGGTGGTGGCATCGGTGGTAGTGCTAGTACCCAGAAGCTTACCACCAATGATGCATTGACATATTTGAAGGAAGTCAAAGACATGTTCCAAGATCAGAGGGAGAAGTATGACATGTTTCTTGATGTTATGAAAGATTTTAAGGCCCAAAGGTATACCGTTTCTCTTGGATGTTTTTATTTGTTAACCATCAAGGTAACATACATTGCATTCTTTTCTTGCTGTATCTTTATGCTCCAATTGATCAACTGACTGTTTTGCAGAATTGATACTGCGGGTGTCATAGCAAGAGTGAAAGACTTATTTAAAGGACATCCAAATTTAATTCTTGGGTTTAATACCTTCTTGCCCAAGGGTTATGAAATAACCCTCAAGGATGAGGAAGAGGTGCCTCAAAAGAGAACGGTCGAGTTTGAAGAGGCTATAAGCTTCGTGAACAAGATAAAGGTAACATTAATGTACAAATTATATGTTTTATTTATTACCTTTGTTTATGGGACTGAAATGATTGCTGTTTTGTTTTCCTGCAGAAGCGCTTCCAAGATGAAGATCACGTGTACAAGTCATTCCTAGACATCTTGAACATGTATAGGAAGGACAACAAAAGCATTACAGAGGTGTACAAGGAGGTCAGATGTGCATTTCATTAGTAATAGAAAATATTATCACTTAACGTCAAATACATAGTTTTTCAATCTAAAAAAAGAAGCTTGGCATATTGTTCCCATCATACGTTCTAATCTTGTGAACTTGAAGTAAAGTTCCTCTTTTTTGTTTATTTGTTTGTTTGTTTGTTTGTTTCTCTAATCTTTTTTTACTGCCACTTTGTGTTCATGCAGGTTGCTGATCTTTTTCAACAACATCCGGATTTGCTTGCAGAATTCATTAAATTTTTGCCGGATACTTCAGCAACGGGATCAGCTACAAATCCTTCTATAGGCAGACAATCTGTTCATCGTTTTGATGAGAGGAGCTCTCCAATGTCTACACTTCGGCCGTCACATGTTGATAAGGTGCTTCATTTCGTTGCAGTATTATGTGTTAGTAGTATTTATTACCTCAATCTCTAGTTAATGAGTTCATTATTATGTGTAGCAACGCCATCGGCGTGATCGGATCATTGGGCCTTACGGTGAACGTGACCGCAGTGTTGAGAAACCTGATGTAGATGACGATAAAGTGACGATGAAGATACATAAAGAGCATAAGAAGCGTGAAGAAAAGGAAAGCAGGGATTGGAGAGATTATGATCATGATTATAGAGAACCTGAGAGTGAGAACAATGGAGACATAAATGTGCATAATCTGAATGAGAAGAAAAAATCTGCTCGCAAGGTTGGAGAATTCGGAGGGAGCAGCACTGTGGCATCTTGTGATGATCAAGATGCCTTGAGAAGTAAGTCATTATTTGTTCCTTCGCAATCTGTTACATACCGTGCACTGTTACAGTTAAGGATCAAACTTTTGGAGTAGCATTTCAAATACTCTTCCTTGCATCTTCATGTTCATCTAGAGTTTTTGAAGCTTGAGACCAGGCCCCTATGCTTTTTGCATGAATTAATTGTGTTGCTTAATTTTATACAATAAATTGGCACTGTAAATTTAATGCCGCAAACCCCAATTAGTTGCGGTTTAGGAGCTTAATGCATATATCAAATGTGATTTCTGCCATTTTTTCCCATTTCATGACCTATTTTGCCCAATTGCCCCAGGTATGTATAGTCAGGAATTCACTTTCTGCGAAAAGGTCAAGGAGAGATTACACAATTCTGCAAGTTACCAGGAATTCTTGAAATGCCTTCATCTTTATAGCACTGAAATCATTACAAGAGCTGATCTACATCGTTTGGTATATTTATTATTATGTCTTCTATATTTTAGTTTGGGAAATGGAGCACAATTTCATTTCAACTTTAATTGATCAATGAAATAATTTCTTATCACCACTTATTTAAACCTTCATTTTTTTCTTCAGATTAATGATATACTAGGAAGTTATCCTGATCTCATGGAGGGCTTCAATGACTTCTTGGAGCGCTGTGAGCGAGTTGGTAAATGTGGTTTCAAGTATAATTACCAGTATTTGCTATTAAAATTAACACGTGCTTGCTAATCGAGTTCTGTTCTGCAGATGGTTATCTTGCTGGCTTTGTGAGCAAAAGTAGGTATCAACCATCTTTAATTTCATATATAATACGTAGTAGGATGTAACAGACAATCTGCCCGAACATTTTTTTGAACTATTCTGACCACATTTTCTGACTACAGAACCTATATGGGCTGATGGGCATACCTCAAAACCAATTAAGATGGAGGAGAAAGGGAAAGTCCCAAAACGTGAAGCAGATGGTGGTAAGGAGAAGGACCGAATCAAAGAGAAGTACTGGGGAAAGTCCATTCAAGAACTTGACCTTTCTAACTGTCAAAGTTGCACTCCCAGCTATCGGCTTCTTCCTGATGATGTATGCAAATATTGTTGATCATGCTATTATTTTCAGGGATTTATGAAACCGCTTGGGTTGTCCTCATGCTAGGGATTCAAGTTGGCTTTCTCACAGTTTGCTACAAACGTATTACACACTAATCCAAATTATTGTCTAACGTGCAGTATCCAATACCTGTGGCAAGCCAGAGGACAGAGGTTGGTGCTAAAGTTTTAAATGATCATTGGGTATCTGTGACATCTGGTAGTGAGGACTACTCTTTCAAACACATGAGAAGAAACCAGTATGAAGAAAGCTTGTTCAGATGTGAAGATGATAGGTAACGTACAATCATCTGTATTTTTTTGATTGTTTATATGAACAGATCTCACACTATTAGTTTTGCTATTTGTGATGGGGTATTGTTTGATGGTCTCAGATTTGAGCTAGATATGTTACTGGAATCTGTGAGTTCAACTGTTAAGCGGGTAGAAGATTTGCTAACTATGGTGGACAAGTACACTGGTGTAGATAGCCATATACGTATTGAGGATCATTTTTCAGGTGCATTATTGAACTCTAAACAAAATTCTACCAGCTACTGATCAATTCTTCTTTGTGTTGCCTTTTTATTATTATAGAGAATTATAAGTTATAATTTGCTGATGAATTCTGTTCTGTCTACCTTTTTCTGTAGCCTTAAACTTAAGGTGCATTGAACGCCTCTATGGTGACCATGGTTTGGATGTCACTGACATTTTGCGTAAAAATCCATCCCATTCATTGCCTGTTATACTTACCCGATTAAAGCAGAAACAGGAAGAGTGGACTAGGTGCCGTTCAGATTTAAACAAAGTTTGGGCTGAGATTTATGCTAAGAACCATTACAAGTCTCTTGACCATCGTAGCTTCTATTTCAAACAACAAGACTCAAAGAACCTGAGCACCAAAGGTAAGTTCAGCATTTGTGTCATATTCTGATTTTTTAAAAAAATGCTGTTTTCATTCAGGCAGTGCCTATGCTCTTGATGATGACCTGAATCATGCTGTTTGAAACTGCCAGCCTTGGTTGCCGAAATAAAAGAGATAAAAGAGAAAAACCAGAGAGAAGATGATGTGGCTCATGCTATTGCAGCGGGCAATAGACATCCCATTTGTCCAAACATCGAGTTTGAGTATTCCGACCATGAAATCCATGAAGACTTGTACAAACTCATCAAATATTCATGTGAAGAGGTTTGCTCAACAAAAGATCAAGCTAATAAAGTTATGAGGCTCTGGACCACCTTCATTGAACCAATGCTGGGAGTTCAATCTCACTCTCATGGTTCAGAAGCCAATGGAAATGATGCTTCCTCTCTTAAGCATCATCATCATCTTTTAAAAAGTAGTAATGGGACACACATTGGAGAAAGTGAGGGAAGTCCTAGCAATGATGCCGTTTTGACAAACTTTATGCAATCAAAAGTTATCTGTAATGACGGAGATGCAAATACATCACCACAACGGATGCATTCTATTAAGACAGATGCTTTGGCCCATGGAGTAGGTTTAACCAATTCTGATGCCACAGCTCTTATTCATGCACACTCAGGTGTGGAATCCAGTTTAGGTACATGTTTTATATCTTTGATGCATTGCTGTTAAGAGTTAATTTCTCCCTCCCTTGAGGTTTCTATAAATTACAATCAACATTGAAATATTATATGATGTGTTGAAATTAGTAGTTAATGAATTTTTGGAACCAAATTATTCTGAAGTTCTCACCATCTATCTCAGAGTTTTTTATAGTGAAAGTGTGAAATATTGTAAGCAACAAAATGCATCACAAACACCAAATCCAATCTGAAACTGCACAATTCTTGATAATATATATTGATATTCTATAATAGTTCAGTGCTAATTGTTAAAAGGGTTGTCCGTCGAATGTCTTACTTTTTTTTATAATCTTAAGAAACCAGAGGGTGAGTTCACAATTTGACCAAACCTTTTGGGGAGGCATATGCAATTAAGCTTATTATTACCTTATGCTGGAAAAGGGCTAGATGAGTTTTATATTTACTCTTAATATGAATTATTTTTCGCCAGGACGTTCTTCAAGGCCTGCTAATGGCACCATTGAGGACGGTCATGGAGCCAAGTCTATTACAAATGACATACGAGCATCAGAGGTAAAGTGGTTCTTATTAATCATGTATGTATTCATTGTCGTGCTCCTTTGCTTAATCTCTCTTCTCTTTATCCATGCCTATAGGATGGTGAGAGTATACGTGCTGCTCTTTTTGCGAAGGACGGATTTGCTGGGGTTTTTGCCAGTCCCTCCAAAAATGAAAAGGAAGAGGGTGAGTTATCACCAAATGGCGATTTTGAAGAGGACAATTTTGTTGTCTATCAAAATGGTGCCTCGGGAGAAAAAAATGGTGGAGATGCTGATGACGAGGATAGTGACAATGCATCTGTTGCCAGAGAAGATGTTTCTGGAAGTGAGTCTGCTGCAGATGAATGTTCAAGAGAAGAAGAGGCTGAAGAAGAGGAAGATGCAGAGCACGATGAAGTTGATGTGAAAAGTGAGAGTGAAGGTGAGGCAGAGGGAACAAGCGAAGCTCATTTTGGTGCGGATGGTCTGTCATCATTGCCCTTAGCCGAACGCTTCTTGCTTACTTCAAAACCTCTCACAAAGCATGTTGTGGTCGCACCACCTTGTATGGGCAGAAAAAAGTATTCACGTGTTTTTTATGGGAATGACTCCTTTTATGTACTTTTTAGACTTCACCAGGTAATATTTCGTTTATCCCCTGTACGATTTTGCAATTGTATTTCTTTTACTATTCAACTACATCGATACCAAAATGAAGCGTGTGACAGAAATGTGGAAGTGTTTTTAACAATAACCCAGACCTCAACTCTACGTTACTATGTATCCAGATACTGTATGAGAGGCTGTTGTTAGCGAAGCAGAATTCTTCATCATCCGATTTGAAGTGGAAACCTGGAAAGGAAAATAATTCTGATCCCTATGTCCGGTATGTAAAAAGGGTCTAATTTTTTTGTTCTGGGTTTGCTTAAACGTACCAGTTAGTAACTGATGCTTCTCTGCAGATTCATGAGTTCATTGTACAGTTTGCTTGATGGATCTTCTGACAATGCAAAGTTTGAGGATGATTGTCGGTCTATCATTGGGAACCACTCATATGTTCTTTTTACCTTAGACAAATTGATATACAAGCTAGTCAAACAGGTATCTTGTCCATATTTCTGTTGCAATTCTCTCTCTCTCTCTCTTGCTCTTTCTCTCACACACATATTTGATGTAGAAAGTTATGCCATGTGTTTTTTAGCTTTTAGCTGTTTCGAGTGATGAGCTGGACAATAAGCTGCTTCAATTGTATGAATATGAAAGATCTAGGAAGCCTGATAACTCTGTTGACTTCGTCTACTATGAAAACTCTCATGTTCTGCTCCATGAGGAGAACATTTATCGTATAGAATCGGTATGTTCTTTACTATTATACTCTGTAAATAACTCATTAGATAAATAAAGTGCCTTTGAATACTGAGATATTTTTTATGCATTTAATAGATATCCTGCCCTCCTGGTATATCCATCCAATTGATGGATGATGGAAATGAGAGGTCTGATGTGGTGGCAGTTTCTGTGGACCCCAATTTTGCTAGTTATCTCCTTTCTGAATATCTTTCAGTAGAACATTGTAAAAAAGAGTCTCCTGCTGTGGTACTTAAGAGGTACTTATATTATCTTCCTGTGTAATGTTAAAGGATTTTCTTGTAAAAACGCAACCTTGTTTTTTCCCCTTATTTTCTTATTTTCAGTTATGATATTACACAAACCTCTCATGTGTGTTCTGTAGTTAGTCTTTCTTGGTTTTCATCAAACAATGTTTTTATCTAGTGCGTGTTGAAGAGAATATTTACACACATGATTGAATTTCTTGCCATGTTTCTATGTATGCAGAAATAAGAGAGAATTTACCAAGCTTGACGAATCTTCTGCTATGTGCTTGGCTATGAAAAATGTAACCATTCTAAATGGGTTGGAATGTAAGATGGCGTGCAATTCATCAAAGGTAAATTGACTTATTTTAATGGTTTTGTATATACTCCGTAATTTATATACCATAGATTATGAAATGTTTGGTCACTACAACTTTCAGGTTTCATATGTCCTTGATACAGAAGACGTTTTCGCCCGTTTTGAGAGGAAAAGAAAGATCCCAGTCGGAAAATTGTCCAAACATTACCGTGCTAGAGTAGAACGGTTTCATAGACTTTTGGAAGCATCATTATGATTTATGATTGACAACCCTTTATTAATCAAGGTAACACATCATATTTCTTAGCATTATTATATGCTTAGAGTATTAAGGGTCTGTTCTTTTGTTTCTTGGGAACAAACACCTTTTTTGTGTCCATATACAGAGCTTGCTTGATCATTAAGGTAAAAGCTCTTTGCGCCGGTTTGTGGTCCAAAAGCTAACCGGGGTGATTTTCATTTGGGAGTTACTTCAAACAACTGTATCATCCATCTTCTCTGCTCCTGGTAATGGCATTTATGTCACTTGTATTGTAAATATGGGATTTGCCTTTGATGTAGATGGTTAATTGTAGAGTTTTGCTGGTTCACCGATGTCGTTCTTGTGGGATCTTCAGAAAAAAAAACCACCATTAAATTCTTTCTGTAACTTTTTCCTTGTTTTAGTTTTTGATTAAGAAGATCCCTGCAAGGTAGAAGAGGTTTTTTTTCCTTTCTGTTTTCTAGCAGCAAACAGTTTTATGGCTAGAAATGATGTAAACAAGCACCCTTTTTTGGTAAAATGTACTACAGTGAAATTGCTTAGGTTTATTTATTTATTTATTTAATTATTATGTTTATATGAATTTTTTTTTATTTTGGTAAAAGATATGTTTACACTAACCTTGACATCTGTCTGTGTTTTCTTTGTTTTGTTGTAAGTTGATAAAATGGTGAAGTGTGATAGGCTAGGGTTTATTCCTTTACACCTCTGTTTGGTTGGGTCATTGTGTTCTTAGAATCAGTTATTTCAGAGTTACTTGATTATGGGAGAATTAAGCAATGATTATTTCTAAAAATTAAAGTTTGAAAGTGAAATAAATAATTGATTATTATTGCTGTATTATTTTTCAAACAGCAAAGTATCTTTTGACCCAAGCCAAAAATGACTCTAGAATGACTCGGGCATTTTAGGCATCTTCTGTGTTTCGTTGATAAAATTGATTGTTTTTATTTTTCCAAACCCCTTTTTCCTTCACTTGTACCTCACTACAGTCTAAATTGTTGGGGTGAGGCGTAGAGGGAGATTTGCAGGGTCAGGGTAGAAATCATTTATTTTACAAAGTTAATTTAAAGTAAAAAATTTCAGGGTCAAAATAATGGTTGTATTTTTTCAAAGGGGTTACAATGCTAATCTGAAACGAAAATCTATAGATCTATTAGCTACGCTATTTCCTCCATCCCAAAATGAAATATCCACTTTGTTCAACATGCAAAATCTTGTGATTATTATTATATCAAAAGTTTTACAAAATAAGATGTTACAAGAATATTTTATTTTATTAAATGATTAATGAAAACATGCAAGCAAACAAAAGTTATCGAGACACTACAATAGTAAAAAATAAATCTTTTTAGAGAGTTCCAGCTTTATTGTTCTTCAATATTTTTTGAATTTCAATTTGGGGACCAATTATTCTTCAAGCTAAGTATCATGATGAGTTATAGTATACTCCATGTGTCTCATTTTATATTACGGAGTATCTGTTTTAATTTTGGAACATATTTAAGAAAGAGAAAAAATAGTACTGATTTTCCAAAAATGCTCCTCCATATATTTTTTGCGTTTTGAAGCTAAAAATTAAAAGAGACATGCCACACACTCATACAAACACACAAAGAGTAGCAAGTACAACAAACAATCATCACATTTATCTATAAAATTTTACTAAAAAATAATTTAATTATTATTGTTTACGTCCGTGTAAAAACAAATACTCCCTATAGCCAATTTATGTGAAGAAATATTCTTGTTTAAGTTTAAACTTGTATTGAATAAAAGTATTGAAAAGTAATAAAAAAACAAATCCTCTATATTAGAATTTGTTTAGATGAACACAATTTTGTGTCACATGTCTGATTCATTAAAAAGAAATAAAATAAGAAAAAATTTGAGACGTCAAAAAAAGTACTCCATATGATTTTCTTATTGAAAATAGAAAAGTACAAAAGCAATTGAACTATAATGAGAATGTTTGTAAGAAGAGTTTGTCTATCATTAATCTTTGATACATGTGAGCCTTCTCATATCATTTAGGTTTTGTTTTTGGGGTTGTAAAAATAAGGTTGGATGTTAGAAAAAATTTGAAGAATAGAGAAAAATTGGAGTTGAAAATTACTGAAAGTTAAAAGTTGAAACCTAAAAGAACCGAGGCAAAATAGAAAAATAAAAAAGATAAAAAGTAAGTAGAGACCCAGTGTTACTACTTGTATTTAATTAATTAAATCTCTACATATCATGTGTGTTAGTCAATTTTTAAAAATTTGACATTTTGTAGTGATATGAAAAATGTATTAACAATTTTTTTTCTCCCAAAATCAGATATACACTATAAGCCAAAAAACTTGTGATCTATCTAAATTTCTACCTATAAGATATAACATATTTTGCGTTATAGTGAGTATTAATTACTCTAGGTTTTTTTGAATGCTATTAACTCTACTATTGTCAATTTAATTATGCACAAAGAGTCAATGCTTCCACTTCCGTTGGGGCTTGAACCTGAGTGAACTTTCCCATGAATCATAGGAAGTGAGCTTGCTACTACTCAAGCCGGGGGAGAAGTTGAATTTCTTAGATACATTATCTTAGATACACCAAAGATGCACTTACCAATTCACCGGAAATTGAATTTCTGCTATTGTATCGAAAATTGTTCTAACAAATACTTAAATAGTTAAGTCTTTATTTTGCATAAAAATATCTTTTTTAAAAAAAATTACCTAGCAATAGTATTTGATTTAAACATTTTAAAATTGATAAAATACTAATACTAGTTGAAAACATTGTTCCCAAGTCTTTTACTCTGATATCATTCACTTGATCAAATTTGACAGTTTGAAAAACTAAAATGTTCAAGTGAAAAGTTGAACGTAAATTTACAAACAAGAACTACTTTTACTTATTTTTATTCCCAAAAAACCAAAAGTCACAAGTAAATTTCTTGCACAGTATGATATCAAGTCATATAATTATATAAACCAGAGGCAAAGAGTAAGAAATACATCCGATTTTCTTCACAACACAACAAGAAAAAAAAGGGGCAGGTTTTAAACAAAGCAATTGTGAAACTCAAATCCAGTGAAAAACGTCTTAAAACATAGACATTAATCAAAAAGCAACCGAGAAAATCTTATTGGTCACCAGTTGTGACCTTTTGCCACTCTCCGTCGACAGCTTCGTTCCACAATGTCACGCTGTTATCGCCAGACGCAACGGCCAAAAGGTTACCGGTCAATGACCACGATACCCTCCAAACGGGGCTCTGGAAGTCATTGAGAACCTTCCCCTCCCATGGGTCTCCCTCTTTCGCCGCGGTCCATATGACAACCTTACCATCCTCTGAAGCGCTTGCAATAGTTGACTTTGGGAGACCCAAATTGGGGGCCCACGCGACGTCCCTAACCCAGTTATCATGCATTTGAAGGGCGGGGAAGCAATCCATCTTCCAAACACCATTGTAGAGCTTCCAAACCTTTACAGTGTTATCACAGCCGCCAGAGGCGAGCTTCTGGACAGGATCAAGTATGCCGGGTCCCACTAAAGCACCGGGGGCCATTGAGGGGGCCCAAGAAACAGAGGTCACTCCAACTGGGTGGGCACGGTCTATCCTTGCGGTGTCCCAACCGCCATCTGACCTCGCAGTGTAAATTGAGATGTTCCCATCGGAGGACCCGCAAGCCAAACAAAGCCCGAGTTCGTGAGGGGCCCACGAGATGGAATTGACGGAGGATTTGTGATCGCTGAAAATGTGGGCTTGTGTCCACTCATTCTGACTGCCTTCCTTCCATATAATGACCTTACCGTCGTAGGAACATGAAGCAAGGATTGAGCCGAATTTCGGGTGGGCCCAGGAAACCTGCCAGACAGGACCGTGATGGCCACTAAGAGTGGCGAGGTGTTGAGAGGTGGAGTTGTTGCTCACACCAATTATTTTGACGGTGGAATCAGACGAAGCTGTTGCGACCCGTTTCCCATAGTAATCCATGGATACGTCGTGAACTACGTCATTGTGACCCGTTTCAATCTTCAGTGCAACCATCTTTCCTTGTTGCCACTACTGTCCACCCTATCTCCTTGTAACTGTATGTGCTATAATAAAAGTACAAATTGTATCATATACTTTCTACTATGATGGCAATTTTATTCTGAGTTATTGATAAAAGAACACAATGATCATATCATCACAATAACTAAGATCTAGGTTGCACCGGGACGGGTGCGGGTACATATACGGGGACCGGGACGGATTCGGGAATCGGCATTTTTAAAAATTTAAGGATGCGGGGACGGCAAGGATTCGGCAACAAAATATAATTAAAAAATTAAGTATAGGCATGTAAATGGTCCAAAAACAGTAATACAATAATAAACAAGGGTCCAAACTAGATTAATAAAATAATCTAAAAAAAAAAGAAAGGAGAATTAAATTTCTACTGGTCTGTTCTGTGCTCAAATCCGTCAAAAAAAGAGCAGCAAAGTAGTGCTCTACTGCTCTGGTCTCTCTGGTTCCGTAAAAAAAGGGGGGAAATTAGAGTTGGGTAGAAAAGAAAAGAATTAACTTACCTTGTCGCTGGAAAAAGCAAAGGAATTAACCGGAATTAAAGCTCTGGATCCCTCCCCGTCGGCGGTAGATGCAATCGGCGGTAGAAGTCTCTGCTCTGAATCGGTTCGTTTGGAATGAAGCGGCGGATCCAGGTCTCTTAGGCTTAATTAAATTACTTTCCAAATCCTAATCCTAATTGGTCAAATATTTTTAAAAACTTTTCAATTTAGGATTCGTACCCAATTCCTACCCGATTCGTCTGGATTCGTACCCAATTCCTACCCGACGAATCCAAACCTGTAGATCCGTTTCGGGTACGTCAACAGCCGTCCCCGTCGGCGCATCCGTCCCCGCGTGCTTCCGGAGCGGGAGGCGGCACCAAACTGCCGAACCTGTGCAACCTAGACTAAGATAACTTCATAACAGCAGCTGGGAACAAACTTGTTTCCTAATGGACTTAATTACCATCTTACAATGGGAAGAGATGAATTCTAACCAGAAAAAGGAAAAAATAAAAACATTTCGAAGAGAGCAAAGAAACAGAATCACATTTACACCAAAGGAAGTGAAAAATATTCTCAAAGTAGTTCCAATGGAGAGGACTGAATGCCTCATCATTCATTAACCAATTACCATACACATTCATATCAAAGAATTGTAATGCACTAATGCTGGCAACAAAGTGACAATTTTGCCACAAATTGGGCATGCTTATCTATCTCAATTTGTTTTGCCTATATTCGATATACACCTGACTAAAGGAAGCTAACAAAAACACAGTCCAGCATGTCCGCATAAATTTCTAAATCCCCAGAACAACAATCACTTCAAAAAAAACAAAACAAAAAAAAAAAACTGAAATGCAGATATCATAATGTGATAAGAGTAAAAAATTGAGATTCGTAGAATTTAGATTAAAAAACTGACAAAAAACACAAAATATAAACAGAGAAAATACAGAGGAACCAGTCTGTTACAGATAACAAATGTATAAAACGCAAATACATAAGATCTGTAGAGCATTATTTTCCACACACATCTTAGAAAAAATCGAGCTGGGAGATATGAAGACTAGTAAATCATAGATCTATGGAACATTAACAATAGATCTAAGAATTCTCAAGAGAAAAATCAAAACAAAATCTTGTAATCACATCTGGATGATTGAATCAAAAGCATACTTTTCTTATGAGATTTATAATCAGATTCGAAGTTAAAGAGTGGAGATGGGAGCGAAGAAAATCAAATACCTCTGATCGGATCTAATGGAAGAGCGCTGTGAATTGATTTTCCAAAGCAGAAAGCTTTTTGGGATTTACGGGATGGATGTTTGAAGGTGGAGTTATTGTAGAAGAAGAGCTATTGGGCTTAGAGTGGAATTGTTAAAATGGTAAAAATGTGAAGTTGGGCCGTGTATGTTAAACGGCCTATTATACTAAATACTGTTATACAACCAAAAAAATTGTTTAAAAATATTACGGAGTACTAATTATTTTTTTTTGAAAGAAAATATTAAGAATTGTGAATTTATTTTTTATGGAAAAATAGTGTCTTTCCTAACAAAGAATAAAAAACAAACATGTCATTGTACGGTTGGCAGTGCAGAGCTGAGCTATGGTGACCACGAAGTCATAGTTAAAATCTCACCCACGTTTGTTTCTAAAATTTCTCAGGCTCGGGGCGAAGAAGGAAGTGGGTCTACCAAAAATTACTAACAAAAAATTAGAACACTTTTTTTTATTAAAATTGAAATGCAATAAATATTAAAATAAAGTACCTTAGGTGACACTGATTGAAAAAAATATGAATAAAAAGAACTAAAGTGCCCTAAACAACATGGATTGAGAATTGTGTTGATAACTTGACATTGAAATGTGGGAATATAGTATTAATAGTAATCTTGTACATTATAAGAAATACACTCTAGGGGTTCTTAAAATTTGTTGTTATGTATTCCGAGAGTACATTTATCTATTTAGCCGTTAGGATTAAAAGTTCTATTGCTTTGACAAATATTAAATTTTACCTTGAATAATATGAAAATTCGAAGTTCTTAACAGAAAATTAAGGATATTCCAAAGGGTGCCTCGCAAGTGCCTTGGCAATCATGGAGCAATGCTAGTGACATGCCACAATTAAGTGACATGGCAGGTGTGGCTGAAGACTTTTCTCACCATTACCGTTGCTCTTAGCTACTAGATTTGAAATTGGTTGTCTTATGCGGATTTGAAGATGCAACACTTTTGAAGATATGTGGCATATCTCAGATATCAGTTGGACCCCTTTTTATTTTCACCAGACATTTTTTTAAAATTTCATATCTCAGATATCAAATCTCATATTTGTTTAATTTCCTCACCAAACAAGCCACATTTGCCATAGCCGGCCACCTCACTTAGTGGCAAAGAGAGGGAGTGCATGTGGTGGAGAACGCTTCCTAGTGGAGAGAAAGAAGAGAGAAATGGGGAGAAGGAGCTTTTGGGATGGGTAAAATATTTATGCCGGAAATGTCAAACGCGGATGGGGAAGGTCAGTGTTGGCGCTTATGCCAAATCATCTGCCGATGGCCTTCCCGATAGCCACACCCAATGGTTTTATTGCATACAATTCTCCCACCAATTTTTGATAAATTATGCGGTACTCCTCCATTTCACTTTAAGTTTCATGTTTTTTATTCGCACGGTTAAATTTTAATCAAGTTATATATGATTTAATAATATAATAATAAAAGACAAACATAGAATTTTATCTCTAATATATTCGACTTGATATGGGTGTACAAAATAAATTTTATCTCTAATATAAGACCCATTCAGATTACACTAGTTACATTTAATCAAATTAGATCCAATCACATTAGATCTGATCTAATCCAATCATATCAGATCCAATCAAACAAGATCGAATATAATTAGATCAGACCAGATTCAATTAGATCAGATAAATCAGATCATGTTCAATCAGATCAAATTAGATCAACGTCTTAAAAAAATCAGACAAGATCCTATCAGATCACACAAATAGAATAGAGCCTTAGTCTATCAATCGATGTTATTGTAGCATACTAGCATCACTCAAAAATTTAAGATCATAGTATACATGTGTATGATCTATCTTACCCTCACAAGTTTACAAAAGAGCATAAAGGCTGCCAAGCTGATGCCGCTTGAAGACGCCAAAAACCAGTAGTAATAGTCCAAACGCGCTTCTCTCAAATCGTTGGAAAACCAACTGCGGTGTTCTCCGGCCGATCTCGAACACGTGAAGTGCTCTATTGCTGCTATCAGCGCTGATCCAAGAAAGTTTCCAACGCCAAAGACGCTCGTGTTGAGAGCCACCCCGAAGGTCCTCATGTTCTCCGGCACCGCGGAGTAGAAGAACTCCTGCATCCCCACCACCGTGAAGATGTCGGAAACTCCCAAGAGGATATACTGGGGAAGCAGCCAGAAGATGCTCATTGGGACCACGTTGTCCCCATGAACATCTTCTGCTTGCCTGCTGACGCGGAGCCTCCTCCTCTCTGTCACTGCGGCGACAGCCATGGCGACAACGGAGAGGAACATGCCGATCCCCATCCGCTGCCTCACGGTGACGCCCTTTTCGTTGCGGGTGAAGGCGCGGATGAAGGGTATAAAGGCCTTGTGGTAGAGCGGCATGAGGAGGATCACAGAGACGGCGATGGCACTCTGGAGGGCGGCCGGAGGGACTTTGATCTTTGTCCCTATGATGTTTCTCTCCATTGTCATTCCTTGTCGGGTGAAAAACGTAGCCGGCTGCTGAAAGATGACGGCGAACATCAGCAGCGTCATCCACGTCGGCAGCAGGCGTATCACCAGTTTCACAAGGTCTAACGGATTCATGTCGTCGTTCTGTTTCTTTCCGCCGTTTGAATCTCCGTCGTAGAGTGGGCTCGGAATCTGTTCGTGAAGCCTGTGGATCCGAGATTTTGCACAGAGAATATTTTAGTATTTAATGATGGAATGAAATTAAAGAGATCATTTTTTGAGAAAAATACTTGGAGAACTCCATCTTGTATATATATACTTGGTGTACACCGAAACAAAAAACAAATATACAGAGATACTCAATGTCGGTGCACAATGACAAAATTTGTTTACAAGCATTCACTAGATTTATGATTTTTAAAGACTATTTTGACTCATCCGAGGTTCCGAACATACAATGACAAATTTGATTAGTGTGCACTTACACATACCAAACTGGACCTTTTAGTGGAAAATAAATTTGTTTTTAAAAGTGGAAAATAAAATAATTTTAGGATAAATGAAAAAATATAATCTCCCTCTCTCTGAGTGTTTGTCTATTTTTAATTTTTTCAGTTAAAATTTGTAAATTTTAACTTGAAGTTATATAGAGTGATATTAGATATAGAAGGTGTTTTTCTGTGCTGGTTCTTACTGACTTATTATTAATAAGTTAATTTTAACTTATAACTTGCTTATATGTCAAATATTCTTTCGTAGAAATAAAATGACTTAAATGAAAGATAAGTCCATTGCAAATATTCATAAATGGTAAGGGATAGTTTGTAAATAATCTAGCCAGAACGGAGAAATGAAAGTACTGAATTAAAAATAAGTAGCTAAGATCTAAATATTTTTTCTGGCTTATAAACTGCTTATAAGTCAATTTATAAGCACGCAAAAATATGTCATCAGCTGACTTATAAGGTAAAAACTGCTTATAAGCACAGAGAAACACCTACATACATACAAAAATAATTTTATAAAATTCGCTTTATAAAATAATTTTAAAATATTATTTTATTTAATTAGTATACAATATATATTTTATTTAATTTTAGGTCAAAGATTAAAAATAATTGATCGCAAAAAGTCAAAACTGATAAATATTCTGGGACGGAGGTAGTATGAACAAGAACTTTATATGGGATCAACTGAAATACTTCATCCGTTCCTAAAAGATTGTCACAGTTTGACTTTTTTAGTCAAACTGTGATACCATTTGACCGTGAGTCAAATATATTTTAAAATAATTAAATATTATAAAAATTAAATGATTCAAAACCATATCTTAAAATAAATTTAATTTGCCAAATTTATATTGTATTAAATATATTTTTTTCCCATAATTTTTGATTAAAGAGTACTAAAGTTTGATCAAAAGGGTCCAATTATGTCAATCTAGTGAGTATTTAATTTTGGAAAAGTAGTGTACTTACTCAACAACCACCACAACTTCGGATTTCTCTGCCGGCACGGAATCTCCGCCGCGGGTCTTCAACCTGGAAGCAACCCGGCCTTTGATAGCCTGAATCAGCTGGTTGCTCTCTCCTCCGGTCTTCTTGAACCGGTAAAACCGGGTCCCGGACAAGAACAGAGCGACGGAGGCCACCATCACGAAGGAGGGGATGGCGAACCCCAGCCCCCAGCCGACGGTGTCCTGAATGTAGGACATGCCCACGACACCCAGTAGGCAGCCGCAGCAAATGCCGAAGTACCACCGCTGGAAGAACCGGCTCCGGCGGTCGGAGCTCTCCTCGCCGCCGCCGGGATCTTCTTGGTCGGTGTCGTCGTCAGTGTCGTAGTCGAGTTGGTCGGCGCCGAAGGCTTGTAAGGAGGCGGTGTAGACGCCGAGGCCGAGGGAGATCAAAGCTAGAGACCACCCGAGGAGAGTGGAGGCGGTGGAAGTGTTGGTTCTTGCCCTCCATGGCCATCTAAATGCCCTTGATGTCAATGCGAAGAGTCCCTGCTTTGAAACAATTTGAATTGAAAAGCACCAAATTTAGTGAGTTTTGGGTTTATAACAGAGAAATTTACCTAAATAGAACTAAAACATAATGACTTTCCCAATATAGGACCATATGTTTTTATTTCTCAATGTAGGACATTTGGTCATTATCAAGTAATCATTATTCAAGTAAATGTCCTCCTATTTAGAGAATAAAAAAGTTTAAGTCCTACATTAAGAAAGTCATTATGTTTTAGTCCTATTTAGTGCAGTTTTCACTTTATAATACCAGTGTTCCAGAAGAAATGACATGATTTCCGAAAACTAGAATGAATTTAATTAGACTATCGAATTGAAATTGAAAATAATAATTCCTATTCTAGTGTTTGATAGCAAAAAAATGTGTGGATTTTAATTTTGTAGTGCCAAAAATGAATTGAAATAGGAAAATTCAATTTCATCAAAATCAATTTTATAGAATTTCAATTTTCAATTCAATTCCAATTCCGTCAATTTCTTGTACTAAACAGACCCATAGTATAGAGAAGGTGAGAAAATGAAAGAAAATAAAATGGTAAGAAAATACTGAAAAGATAAAGAATAAGAGAAAGAGTGCTCTTTAATTCATTTTCGCATTATCTACATTGAGAAATTTTTTGTGAAATTTGCAGTGAATAAGACTAAAACATAATTCATTTC